CGAAGGGATTTTCCATGTTTTGGTATGTGTCTACAGTACTTCCTTAAAGTTCAGGTTACTTGGCTGTCCTGATGAGGAAATACAGTAAGAGCTTTTGATGTTCCAGTGAAGAATTAGATTTTGATCATGGAATAAGCACAGTGAATTATGTGATATTAGGATAGAACATCATATAAAATGTCTTGATTTATGTTTCCCTCTGACAGTTCAAAGTACAAATAACTATGCCAGTTGCTCTCCCACCATATTTTTTTTTTATGAACGAGAGGTCAGGTTTGTATACCACCTGTAATCCTCTTATGCATATTGCTTGCAGTAAGGTAGAGGAACATTTCTGTCAAGATTTTAAAATAGTATTTCTCAAACTTGGCAACTTTAAGACATGTGGTGGACCATCTCCCAGAATTCTCCAGCCAGCATGTTGATTAGGGAATTCTGAGAGTTGAAGTCCACGTGTCTTAAAGTTGCCAAGTTTGAGAAATACTATTTTAAAGGATGGAATTCCCTCAGGGCAATCTTGCTTGCTAGATTGATAAATCTTTCATTGGGCTCATATATTAACGGATTATGATCCAATCTAATCAGCTTAATAATCAAGGAGGAACATTTTAGAATTTTATTTAATTATTTATTCAACAAATTTATTGTTGCCCAACTCCTACACAATGACTCCAGGCGACTATCTAAATTTTCAATTGATAGGACTTGTGAGAATGTTTCATACTTGCAATGTTTGAGGAAATGTTAAACTTGTTATAATGCTGTCTAATGATAATATTTTAAAAAATGAGCTGTAAACTAAAACATGACATTAAAATATACACAACATTTTGTTAGTCTTTCAATAGTCCCCATCAGTAATTGGGGGGGGGGAGGGAGGTAATCATAAATGAAGCAATCACTTAACAAATTCCCAGTCCAAGTTTCGCAGCTGCTCCTTAAAACATATATTGAAGGCCTTTCCTTACATGCACCTCTTTGGATAACCAAAATGTCTGCCAAAATGGAGGGGAGGGGAGTTGGCTATCTTTCCCTGATGTTGTCTTCAAAATATTCATAGGCCACGAGTGAAAAAGACTTAAATGATTCTTAGCTGTATTAGTTAAGCTAGGACTTTTGCTTTTAAGCCAATAGTGTCAAACAATAACCTATAACAGTGATGGCGAAACTTTTAGAGACCAAGTGCTCAAACTGCAACCCAAAACCCACTTATGCATTGTCGGGTGCTGGGTGGGTGTGGCCCATTGGGTGGGCGTGGCTGCGGTGGTAACAGCAGACTGGGTGGGACTAAAAAGTTCAATCAAACAATTCCAACTTTGCAAGATCTTTTTTTTCCTGCGAGAAGTTGAAATTGACTGATTGATTGAACCTTTTTTTTTGTACACGGCGGTGGAGGCCTAAAGCGAAAAGATTTTATAAAACCCAGCTGAAGGCCTAGGACTGGGGCGATGGTGCGTGTGCCCACAGGGAGGGTTCTGAGTGCTGCCTCTGGCATTCGTGCCATAGGTTTGCCACCACTGACCTATAATAAGGCTATTAATTATTTCCCATTGCTTTAGAGCAGGGGTGGGGAACTATGGCTCTTTTATGACTTGTGCTGGCTCAGGAATTCTGGGAGTTGAAGTCCACAAAACATAAAAGGGCCATAGTTCCCTACTTCTGCTTTAGAGGAAAGTGGGCCCACTTCATTTCCCATGAACCTTAAAAAGAAGATGCCTTTAATCTTTTTCAGAGGACAAAGCTGGACATCTGCCAAACTGAGAGCTTAAACCTTTACATTTATTTCTGCCACTTAATTTTCAGATAACAATGAAAAGTAATCTATGGGCAATTGATTATGGACTATGGGCAAATGCTGAAGACTATAAATATTTAGAACAGCCAGAAGCTGTTTGCAGAAATTCCTTTGCTCATATTAATATATGCCAAGGGTAACAGAAAAGACAGCAATTTAAATAGAACAGCAGAGAAAACCAGTTCTGTGTTTTTGCAGCTGGCTGGTAATGTAGGAGTCACATTGCTCTTTTATGACCTCTTTCTGGGTGACTGCATCTTTATAATACCTTCTCAATCTATAAGTAAAAAGGATTTATGAAGTGCCATAAACCTTGGAATCTTTGTCTCCAGGAGTTGATTCAAAAGTTTCCTTAAGAAAGCTGTAAGGTAATTTTACAGGGCCATTTCATTTGGGATAACTTGGAGAAATTCCGTTCCATTTCCAGAATACAGTTCTTGCAAAAATACAGCAATCGATCTGTGTTTAATTCAAACTCTATGCAAAGTTAGAAGGGAAAGAGGCATGGATCTCCTGCATTGTTTTCTTTTTCCCAATTTTCAATCATTTTACTTATTTTTAAATAGTGTCTGGAGATTGCCACAGAAATGGGGAATAATCTATCACAGCACTGTACACTTAGGTAATACTCATTTCTGCTGCTCACCAGTGTATTGGAAAAACTGTTAGTTTAATATAAGCTGAATAATGTGCAACAATGGAATAACTAAACCAACTGAATCACCTCCAAGTTTGCATTTAAGATTTTTAAATAAACTGTGGGGCCCTTGGTGCTCTCTGAGCTTGGCTGTTTTCTTGCAGACATTTCACTACTAAAGTAGGTAATATCATTAGTGCTTGAAGGGAGTGCGGTTTCCCACTATATATCCTGGACCTAGTGGCTTGCCTTGTCAATGTTGGTGGGACTGTTCTTGATGGTTCCTTGTTTAGGCTATTGTTTACTGTTAACAGGTTTGCCTGTGCTGGTAGTTCCTTCATTGGCATATTGTTTACTTCTTGTTTCTCTAGTGATAATTTATATCTTTTATATAAAGAAAGAAAAATGAGAGCAATCGTAAATTACCCTTGTGACTCAACTTCCATGGCTCTGATCTGCTTTTTGTTTTATTTTGTTTTCTTTTCTTAAAACAACTGTTTTTACTTGAGTTCCTAGTCCAGACCACAACATTTAGGGTTTCAACATACCTTCAAATATGCCTGATAAACAACTGGCAACCAGTGCAGATCTTTCATCCACATGAAATCAATGTTCCTCCAGTTCCACCAATCACTATTCTGCCCCAACTACCTCTGTTCTGAATCACTGCTGAATTATGGTTTTCCATGTATGTGGGCACAACACATTAGCTAAGCTGATTGGTTGAGTTTTCTGGTCTTGGTGTCCTCCCTTTTTCTCATATTAGTAGCTAGCAGGAAAAGCATCTGTCTGTTACGCACTGCTAAAGGAAGGAGAAGATTGGGCTGTCATCTTTTGCCTCTTTCCATTACATCTCTACCACCATCTTGTTCTTTAGGACAGGGGTCCCCAACCTGTGGGCCACAGGACAAGCTGGCCAGTGCACGTGTGTGTGCCTGCATACCCCCTCACTTGCATTAGATCCGTGGCTGTGGGGCTCAAAACCAAGATACTGTGCCTCGGGGCACGAAAACGGGATGCCAGCACTGTGCCTTGGGGTGCAAAAATGGGCCATCGCCACGTTGCAGGGTGCAAAAATGGGCACCACCACACCGTGGGATGCAAAAATGGGGCACCGCCATGCTGCAAGGTGCAAAAACAGCTGCTGCAGCACCACAGGGCACAGAAATGGGACACTGCCATGCTGCAAGGCGCAAAAACGGCTGCCATCACACTGTGGGGTGCAGAAACAAGGTGCTCGCCATGCAAGAATGGGGCAGGGCTAGTGAGTATAATGCGAGTGGAGGCAGAGGCACGGGGGGGGGGAGGCAGGCAATCCCGATGTGCCACCCACTTTGTCCCACCAGGCAGCTGCGTGGTGTATCAGGGTCACCTGCCTCCTCCCTGTGCCTCTGCCGCCATCTGGTACCAGTGCCACCACATGAGCCTCCCATGAGCCAGGCGGCCGTGCAGTATATCCAGATCACCCACCTCCCCCCACCCCCCGTGCCTCTGCTTGGAAGGCTGGCCTGGTGGTTGCAGCACTCAGACTTACATGCGCTGTGCTGTGCAGGTTGCAGCTGCTGCCGGACCCTGTTGGTCCCCGTGCGCTCGCCACTTCCTATGTGTGCGCCGGGGGAGGCTGATCAGCCTGATACCGTGTTTCCCCGAAAATAAGGCCTAATGCGTCTTTTGCAGCCAAAAAAACTATAAGACTGGGTCTTATTTTCAGGGAAACATAGTATATAATTAAATATAACATATAATTAATGACTTAAGGGATGCATGACTGTCTGAGTGACAATTGAGAAGAAATAAATGATAAAGAAATTATTCCTTATTTCACTCTTTCCCAAATGATGTCTTCTAAATATGTTGGTTTTCATCTCTCATAATATCAAGCTAAGCTGGCAGTTTAGAGAGCTAGTACGAAGCTTGATGCTATATAATACAGATGGTCCTTGTTTAAGAATCGCTTGTTCAGTAACTCTTTGGACTTACTACAGTTCTGAAATAGTAGTGCTTATGAGTGATCGCAGTATGACTGCAGTGATGTGATCATGATCCAGGCATTCGGTGACTGGCTTGTAATGGCACTGCAGTATCCCGCAGTCACATGATTGCCATTTGTGACCTTCACTGCCGGCTTTCTACAAGCCAAGTCAATGGGGAAGTTAACAGGAGGTTGCCAGTGGAGACCACCTGACATCCTTGCTTAATGTGCCACATTGGTTTGCTTATTGAGGGCAACTGGAAGTGATGGGATTTCTGTCACTAAGTGGCATGGTCATGTGATGTCTCACTTTATGACCGTGTTACTTAGCAATGGAAATTCCAGTTCCAATTGCCATCATTAAGTGAGGACAACCTGTACTGGTTCTTGTTTTCTATAAGGAGTTGCTTTGAATGTGTAAGATGGCACAAGATGGCAAAGGTAGTACAGGACAGCTATTATTACAGATAAGGGCAAGATCTCACATAAGCAAAAACTTTCACAAAAATATATACAATAATTTAATCAGAAATCACCTTGCTTGCTTAATGAAATAGTAATAATAATAATACAAAGAAATTTGGCTGTGGCCCTTGGAGTCATTGAACAATGCACCGATATAGTGTGTATCGTTCACTGCTCCCCTGGTGACACCCTACCTAGACATAAGCTGCCTGGTACTTTTAAGTGCCAGTTATATATGCTGCTCTGTGATTCAGCACAAAATTAGTTCTGGGTGGAAGCAATCTTTAGATTCTTCAAGGTTCCTAGGGAGAAAAAAAATGACTTCTCACTATTAGGGATGGGAGGAGGAAACAAGTTAAACGACACCAGGAAACAGTTGAAAACAGACTGAAAATCTTTCTCTCCCACTATTCTTGTCCTCTTTTCTGAAGCGTTTCATGCTTTCAGTCCTCAGGAGTATGGCACCTAGTTAAAAAAAAGAAGGGGAACTCATTCGGGCTAGGTAAATTATACATAGGAAACATTACTGCATGAATGTTAAATATGAAGGTGGCATTTAGAAGAAGCTGTAGATTTTATCAGAAAGAACTGCTTTTATCTTATTAGTAAAATGAATAAATGATCATGTCCTTTCTGAGGATTAATTATTGAATATCAGCTTTCTCCAGGCTGTGGCACGATATTTTGACACTGCAGTTGCTACCATTCCTAATTTGCATAGGAACTGATTCTTTTTAATGGCTAGAGCTTCTTCTTCTTCTTCTTCTTCTTCTTCTTCTTCTTCTTCTTCTTCTTCTTCTTCTTCTTCTTCTTCTTCTTCTTCTTCTTCTTCTTCTTCTTCTTCTTCTTCTTCTTCTTCTTCTTCTTCTTCTTCTTCTTCTTCTTCTTCTTCTTCTTCTTCTTCTTCTTCTTCTTCTTCTTCTTCTTCTTCTTTCCTCCTCCTCCTCCTCCTCCTCCTCCTCCTCCTCCTCCTCCTCCTCCTCCTCCTCCTCCTCCTCCTCCTCCTCCTCCTCCTTCTGGTCTAACTTAACCTCAAGCTAAACACAAACACACACACATATTGGAAAAGCTGCTTTTACTTAGTGATGGTGTGATTCGCTGAATAACCATAGCAAAAAGGTTATAAAATCAGGCATGGCTCACTAATGACCACCTTACTTAGAAGTTGTGGTCCTAATTATGTTTGGAGGTTGAGGAAGGACTAACTGTAGTCATAAGCATCTCTTGGGGCACAGATAGGGCAAATGAGAAAGGTAGAAAGCGACTTTTATTAGATCTCCATCCTTCACCAGATTAACTGGCAGTGGCCCATGTATCCAAATGACATTTCTGGTTAAGATAGTGATATGAGAAATCAAGACTTGTAATAGCTCCTTTGAGAATAAATGTCAACATTATTTAGTAATTAGCATTATTATTCGGACCAACTTCATGTCAAAGGTAGTGATTAAAGCAAGGGTGTCCAACCTTGTCAACTTTAAGACCTGTGGACTTCAACTCCCTGAATTCCCTAGCCAGTCATTTAAAGTCCAAAAGTCTTTAAAAGTTGCCAAGGTTGGATTAAAGGTTGGATTAAAGGCTATTCAGTAAGAAGAGAATAAAGAGAGTCAAACTGAGCAGAGCTCAGAAGGTAACATTACTGCAATAAATAGTCAGGTATTCTTGGAAGCTTCCAATTAAAGACTTAAGAAGCTTCTAAGAACTAGTAACTGTTGCTGGATTACATATCTTTCACCTAATTAGCCTGCTTCTCTTTACACTAAACAAGCTAACAAATGTTAAAATTTATTATACATAATGTATAATTTTTTTAGAGATCATGAACCACTTTTTTTTTGCAACCTTCAAGAAAGGAAGCTGGGTTACATAATTCACAAAAAACCCCAACAATTAAAAACAATTAAACAATTGTTTTAATTAAACAATTAAAAGGTACTGAGGTCTTCCTAGAGACTGTAAATAGTCAAGATTTGACCAAAGATACAGAAGACATAGTTATATATCATGACCAGTCCATAGATCTTATTCCCTTGAAGGCACTTTCTTGCCACCAAAAAAATAATAATAATGAAACTGGTGTGAATTGCTTGCTTTTCTTGAGAGTCAACTACAGATTTACTTTCAGAAATGATAGAAGTGACAGTTGAGAAAAAAATAAAAGGAATTTGTCTTTTACGATGTATGCTCTTGAACCAGTTTTAGTACTGTACTATGACTTTGCAGCAGACAACTCAATCTGCCTCACGTCAATTTTGGATATTTTAAAGCAGGGGTCTTCAAACCTGGCCCTTTTATGACTTGTGGACTTCATGTCCCAGAATTCCTCAGCCAGGCAGAGGAATTCTGGGAATTGAAGTCCACAAGTCATAAAAGGGCCAAGTTGGAAGACCCTGTTTTACAGCAACAGCAGCTCTCTTTACATAAGATAAGTAATAAAATAGGATAGCTATGGAATGGAATGTAGAAGTTATCTAATTCAAAACCCTTTTAACGGAGTGCAAAATGATCTAATATACCAATAAAGAAGAGTCAATCCAGACCTTTCCTGTCTGGCCGTGGTGGGATCTTCTGCTTGAAAAGCTTGTGCCGTAGCCCTGCCACCTGGCCAGCAGCCTTACCTTAATTTGGGAGAAAGCTTTGCAAAGCTTCAGGCACCTCTCGGAGAATCCGAAGCTTGTGAAGTTGTTTGTAGATCTCCTTTTCCACGTCTTCTGCCTGGAAGATGTGGGGAGCGGAAGCCCAACCCCAAAACAAAGGATGAGATGTTGTGAAGCAAGGACGGGGGCCATCACTTTTTTTCCCCTTTGCCTTCATTGGCTATAATAATACATATGTATTTCTATATACAGAATCTCTGTATCTAGAACAGTGGTTCTCAACCTGTGGGTCGGGACCCCATTTGGGGTCGAACGACCATTTCACGGGGGTCGCCAAACAATGCAGTCCGCCATTTTTTCCCCCTTTTCCTTTGCTGTGCTACTCCCTTTTATTCTATTGGCTTTTGAAAGCCAATAGAATAGACTCTCTTGAATAGAGTCTAATTCTATTGGCTTTCAAAAGCCAATAGGAATTGTCCAGGCTGTCTCTGCCCTGCTGAGCCCGCCAAAAGTCCCATTCTGCAAACGGTGCTGCACCAGTTGAGTAGTCCTCGACTTACGACCGGTTGAGTAGTCCTCGACTTACGACCAGTTGGGGGTCGCGGCATTAAAAAGGTTGAGAACCACTGATCTAGAACAAGGGAACAAGGCTTTTTGACCAAGTGCTGGACTCTTTGTCTTGCTCCAATCCTGCCTCACTCCAGCCTCAGGTTTCTTGCATATTTAACTGTGCCTTTTTTATTGAATCATTGCTGCTAACATTTTCTACCATTGCTACGAAATTTTTCCATCTGCACTTCTTTTTAAAACTTAATTAAGCACAATAGCTAGTTCCAGGTGTGCTCATTTAAAAAGCATTGGTTTTGCTCTGTTTGTCATAATACAGAATAATGGCACAAAGGAAGGTTGCCCTTTCCTGAGGACTGAGAGTAACAACCAATTTTATATCTTCAAAAATATTTTCATTGTTAGTAGGAATAGTGGCACTATTTGGACTATATCATTTTTGTCCGGCAGAGGCTAAATGATCCTTCCTTCCTTCCTTCCTTCCTTCCTTCCTTCCTTCCTTCCTTCCTTCCTTCCTTCCTTCCTTCCTTCCCATCTTCTTCCTTCCTTCCTTCCTTCCTTCCTTCCTTCCTTCCTTCCTTCCTTCCTTCCTTCCTTCCTTCCTTCCTTCCTTCCTTTCCTTCCGCTTCCTTCCTTCCTTCCTTCTTCTTCCTTCCTTCCTTCCCATTCTGCTTCCTTCCTTTCATCTCTTCCTTCCTTCCTTCCTTCCTTCTCCCCTTCCTTCCTTCCTTCTTTCCTTCCTTCCTTCCTTCCTTCCTTCCCATCTTCTTCCTTCCTTCCTTCCTTCTTTCCTTCCTTCCTTCCTTCCTTCCTTCCTTCCTTCCTTCCCATCTTCTTCCTTCCTTCCTTCCTTCCTTCCCATCTTCTTCCTTCCTTCCTTCCTTCTTTCCTTCCTTCCCATTCCTTTCCTTCCTTTCCTTCCTTCCTTCCTTCCTTCCTTCCTTCCTTCCTTCCTTCCCATCTTCTTCCTTCTTCCTTCCTTCCTTCCTTCCTTCCTTCCTTCCTTCCTTCCTTCCTTCCTTCCTTCCTTCCTTCCTTCCTTCCTTCCTTCCTTCCTGTCTCTATAGTGGCAGAATCAGATCGCTCAGGGTTTCCTGCTACAAGTTCCTTAAAAATAAGATTCTAGTTTTAGACTGAAACTCCTTTAATTCTTGACCACTGGCCATGCTGGCTAATGAGAATTGTAGTACAGCACAACAAACCTGGAGGGCATTAGGTTGCGTCTCCTTACGGGGCTGAATGCCTGCCTAGTTTCAATATCAGCCAATAATCCTTTCCTTCCCTCATTCAGTTTTCCATCTGATTAAGTCGTTCTGGATAATTCAAAAAGCTGAGTGCTGTTTTGTTGCACTTTGCTTTGGCTTTTTGAATGCACTGCCCTTATATAGATAGATGTGGTTATTTTATTGGCTTGTTATAAATGCCTCAGACTCCTTAGGGCAGTGTTTCCCAAACTTGACAATTTTAAGGCATGAGGACTTCAACTCCCAGAATTCCACAGCCAGCAACGCTGGCTGTGGAATTCTGGGAGTTGAAGTCCACATGCCTTAAAATTGTCAAGTTTGGGAAACACTGCCTTAGGGAGATGCTGATGGAACCTAAAATATTTGCAGTGCTCCCATTTGACTTCTGTATGAAACTCTCTATTCCACCAGGAGTGATTTCATGCAATGCCTATTTTTACTGGGATGAGGGATGAGGCCCTGTGACTTCCTCGTGTATACATCAAATCAAGTAGCTTACCGATTCCCGCATTAATTCTGCTGTCTTCCCCAAGAGGGAATAGACTAGAAGGATTCCAGCCTGACTTATCCTCATCAAGGGATCGTACATGGCCAGCAAGGAGGTCTGCAGAAAAGCTCTCTTTTGACCCTCTGTGAAGATGTTTCTGAATAGCTGGAAACAACAGGAGGTCATGCTACTATCCAAAAATGGTAGGAATAATATTCAGTGGGTTTGTTTTAAAAAGCTGTAGTGGAGATTTAAAACATTACTGTCTATTTAGGACAGGTGTATATAACTTCCTTTTGCCCAAGTGCCCAAGGTTGCAGTACACACACACATAGGTGGGCCACATAACATGATTTAAAAACTCTAATAATTTAATTTTAGCACCCAGAGTTAATTGTGATGCCTATCACAGCTGAGAATGTACTTCTGTTCCACATAACTTAGAATTCCAACTAAAACCAGAGAATTTTCCTTCCCAACTACCTGAAAGTAATTTGCATTTTTTCCCCTATAAAACCAAATTTTTCAGAGTCAGCTGATACCCCCAAATCTGGACATTTATAGCCAGTTTTTTCTAGTGGTTAAAGCACCAGGCTAGACAGCAGAAGGTGAGTTCAAGTCCTGCCTTAGCCATGAAAGTCAGCGGTGCCAGTCTTTCTCTGTCTCTTAGCCCAACCTACCTCACAGGGTTGTTGTGGGGAAAATAGGAGGAGGAAGGAATTGGATATGTTCATCACCTTGGCTTGTTTGTAAAAATAATAAAGGTGGGATTCATATAAATAAATAAAATGTGTCCTTGGTAAGTAGTTGAGAAGAGACTTGAAGATAGCCATAGTATTGTTTTCCTCATTATTGTTTCTGAAACTTCTCTAATTTGGATGATGGCAATATATATTTTTAAGCGGATGGGGGGCATCTTTTTGATCCTATGTCTTGTGTCCAGAAAGGGAAAATACATTTTCAGGAACTGAAGGAAGTCAGTTTCCTTTCTCTAAGTGATACTTTCAATATTACCAGTTCCAATCAAACTATAATTCCTTTCATGTTTCGGAGAATACAGAGGTTACTGTCATTGATGATGACATCACCTAATAAACATGGCAAAATGGTCCATTACTACTTCCAAACAGTAAAAAGACATTTTCATTGATGCACCCACGTTTCACCAGGACTAGCCCTATCATTAGATGTAGTATAATGTCTGCTTTGGGAGATGGACTGAACAGGCAAGCATTGGGGCTAAAGGGCATCCCCATTGCTGTTCAAGATAGCTGTTTTCCTGTAGTTAACATGTATGCTTTTCAGAAAAGGAGATGCCCTGATCAGCAACCTACAAGTATGGTATCCCCCCACCCCAATACTTGCAATGAACTAACATACCTTATGAGAGTTAGGCATCTGTTTACTAACTCATAAGGCATGTTAGTAAGGTGACCAATCGTCCTCCTTTAGGGAGAACAGTCCTTCTTTTGTAAGTTCTGTCCTCTCTCGAAAAGTGTCCTACATGTCCTCCTTTTCGATATTTGAAGACTAATCTGTAAATCTCCGTATTCGATCGATGCCAATCCGATCCGTTGCATGTGATGTGACGTATTTGTATTTGACATGACGATTCCTCAAGGCTTGGTACAGTGCGGCGAGACACGATTATGAGACGCATGCGCTCTGCACAGGAGAATTGTTTTGAGAGAGTACGCCGCACACAAGAGTGCGCCACATGCAAGTGGCTTTGTTTACTTCTTACCGATGACATGACATGGCACGCATTAGACTCACTTTTTTTTCTTCAATTTATTTGTGTCCTCCTTCTCATTGTAAAAAAGTTTGTCACCTTAATGTTAGTTCATTGCAAGGTATTGGGGGGGGGGGGAGAGAATACCATGCTTCTAGCTGCTTCCCACAATTGTGTTATTGAGAAGACCCCCATAGACAAACCTATATAAGGCAGATTAACGAGTAGCAGGATTGTTCTTATACAAAGGATGCGCATGATCGTTCTTGGCCTATTGGGATATTTCACATCACCAAAGAAAGCTGGTCTTACCTCACCCACTCTGCAGGCATCAAGATAAGCCAACATCTTCTTGTCTTCTGTTTCCTGGCACCATAATTCTCCCGCCTCCGTTGTGCTCAGTCCTAAAAAAGGAGACACCAGAGGCCTAATTCCCATTTCACCCTGCATGATGAGCCTTTGCAATTGTATGACTGGCTAGCTTTCTGGACCTTTTTGTATCACGCCTGGACTTGCACCTGCAATTTTCTTCCAAGGGGACATTTCTCTGAAACATTTTCCATCTAATTCTGGCTGTCATAGGAAGCCAGGCTTGAGAAACAATTCTGCGAGGGGGATGGAGGGGGAAATATATCCCATTTCTTATTTATGTAAAAGTAAGGCTTAACCTCCAGAGGATGCTTCATTTTCAAATAAATAAATAAAAAGGAAGAAAATTGATACTATGCCATGGCAGCTTTCCTTTGGCTGCTGATTTTTTGCTAACTGAGTCACTTTTCTGGAAGAAAAGTGAATACGGTATGAAAGATATGAAGTACTGTAAGTGCTACAGTAGGATGTTTGCTATCTGGGACCTGTACAAATAAAGCCAAAAACAGAAAGAGAGCAAGGAGGAGAGAGTGTGACAGATGAACTCAATTTCAGCATTAGCATCAGAGTTTCTAAAAATGCAGCTATGGTGAGACAAGAAACATTTGTCCCCTCTCCTCACATAGATTTCAGGAAGATTGGGCCACTCGAGTTCAGATGATTGACAGCCATTCCTGCAGTCTCTAGAAACACAGACTTTGAAAAATGCTCTGAAATAGGGACAATCAGATTGTGGCCCTTCAGCTGTTGCTGGAGTAAGATTTCTAGCATTACTCACCACAGTCATTCCCAATTTTTCCATCATTATACCTCCCCTTGCCTCCCCTTTCAGGATATGTGCTAAATATGTGCTACCCACTGTTTAAAAAGTATGGAAAAAATAGGAGACCTCCGCCACCATCTTCCCTGCAGTCTGCTGTGGGACTTCCTATCACCCCTGACCCAGCCCGTTTTCCAGCTGTACCTCACCAGGATTTGTAGCCCTTCTTTTCTTCCTTTTCATCGGCCTCTCCCCCCACACCTCAACTGATTTTCCTAGTCGATTAGATCTTCATAGTATTGTTCAGTGTTTTGTTTTTTAAATCCTGTGATTTTTTAGAAGTTTCTCATCCTCGTGCACCTCTTGAAAATTTTTCATGCTCCTCCCTCTCAGTTTGGGAGTTTCTGCTCTCCTGGGGTGAGACAGATTTTAAAGAAGGTATACATGAGCTCTTGGGGATGGCCCATTGGCTCCTAAGCAGGCTTCACTTACCCATGTGATTCAGGAGGAGCTGGTAAAGGCAGCTAATGGCGTCTCTGGCTTGGTAGCTCACCTCTTCCACTGAATCTGTGATACAAACTGCAAATTGTGCTACTTGGTGTCCCAAACCAGATAATTCCCCAGTTTTCTAGGGAGAAAGAAAGGAAGGAAAAGAGAAGAGGTCTTTTCTTCATGTTTTGCGTTAGCTTATCGTTTCATTTTTTTAAAAAAGAAATCTCTAAGTGATCTTCAGCTAAGGAAGGACCGCTGCATGTGTATGAAGTAGTCCTCCGATTTCTGGAATAAGAAAGTATCCAAAAAGATACTGCATTTTGGAAGGGATGATGGATGTAAGACCTAAATAGCCCGAAATCCACCCTACCCCATCACTTACATCTTGAAACAAAGTGAAAACTCCCAAGATCTTGTGCAACAGCATCAAAATCTTGCAAGCTTTCACTGTACTTGTGCATGATTGTACAAATGCGACTGAAATCACTGATTCCCTTCAAGAGTGGCAGTGCAAAGCAATTCATTGCTCAGTCTGGAAAAGAGATCTCTTTTAAGAAAGAGAATCAGATTGGTATAGTATAGGTCAGGGGTAGGCAACCTTGGCTCTTTTATGACTCGTGGACTTCAACTCCCAGAATTCCTGAGCCAGCCATAAAAGAGCCAAGGTTGCCTACCCCTGGTATAGGTGTTGGCTTAGAAACCAGGAGACTGTGAATTCTTAGGCATGAAAGCCAACTGGTGACTTTGGGCAGTTACTCTCTCTCAGTCTAACCTACTTCATGAGGTTGCTATGAAGAAAAGAGGGTACAGGAGTATTAGGTATACCTCCAATAATAATAAAAAAAACATTTCAAAGGAATTATTCAGTTTGGAAGATCAACAAGCGTCCAGTGGAGAAGTAGATAAAAGAAAATTATGAAGAGGTCTATCCTCAGTTATAATCTTCTTGGAACACTGCAACACTACATAGAACAGTTTCCCTCAAATTGGTGGACATCATAAGGGTTGAATTTCAACCCTTAAAACTCCTGACTGATACGATCTCTTAATGCCATAGAAAAATCTTTCAACTTGTGGCTCTCCTTTTCCCACATGTAATCCAATGGGAAAACTATTTTTTTTTTCAAAAGGGAAGTTCCCTGTGAGTTTTAAGTTTAGTTAGTCAAAGTTTCATAAACAGGAAAAAGGTGATTGGTGCATTTTTTAAATATGCTTAGTATTTCAAAGTCCAAATCAGCTGCGGTCATCACCTACCTCAAAATTTGATTGCTGGTTAACATGGCGAAGCAAGGAGATGCTGCAATTAATGGCTCTGAACCTCTCTTGAGGGTCTTGTGAACGAATCCAGAAATTGACGTGCTGTGGAAGGAAATTGGAAGTCAGAAAAAGATTGGCCTATCCTGTTTTCATCCAGCAAATATCCAACTTTTATTGATATCTATGGCCACTCAAGAGTCCTGACGCTTATTGCTCCATTTCTTGATCTTGAACATTTATTTTTATTTTAATTTTACTGACTGCTTTAGATTAGGTGTGTGATGTTGTAATGTGAAAAGTGGGCAGGATCAACATTCAAAGGTGGGACAATTGAAACCTTTAAAGTAGGGAAAAAAAACAGCCCAAAATAAGGAGTGGGCTTGTTGAGGGTTTATGGGGTGAAAAGACTTGAGGCATCTTTTTCATTCCTGAGAATTTATTTGCAGCTCTAAAGCAATATATTTGAAATATAGACCTACCCCTTTAAATATCTAGAGGTCATTGAAGAAATTTTGGGGAACCTGAAGAAATGTACAGGCTTCAGGTTGTACATGTTAAGATACATTAAGTTCCATTTCAACCTCTCCCTCTCATACTAACCTCAAGAGAACCCCACCACCATCTTCTCTTTAGCCTCTCACCTCTAATATAAATAGGAGATGGCTGATGGTAGGTGTCTCGGACAGCAGGCCCTTCAGCATAATATCCATGGTATCAAAGGATGATCTGTAGAGCGCCTGTAAAGGGAAGAAAATTTTGCAGGGTGGTCTCTCAAGATGGAATTTTCTAACTTCATTATAAACCAGCTATCTAAAGAGATATAAATTTATTACAGCATAAGTTCTCATGGACGTATGCACCCCCATTTCATTAGATACATGAAGTATTATTGTCCATTGGTTTGTGTGTTTTATGCACACACTTTTTCGTGCGGCTGCTGATAAAAACAGGATCGCCAACATGATCGCCAACGTCCGATAGAGGATATGGCACAAGAAGAAGAAGAATGCACACACGAGTCCATGTGCATGAATTTACTTGGATAAATTATGTGAACTTAGGAAAAGAAGATACCATCTACTCCTCTCTTACTATCCTCAGTATCGAACACCATTCAGTGATGAATTTAAAAAGCACAGCATATTTGCCCCCAGACCAGCAAAATTTAATCCCAAATTACCACACTATGAACGTCGGTTGTTTGTGTTTCCATGCTGAATATACCATGAAGGGCCAATCGCAGAATACCTGTTTCTAGCTCAGAAGCAAGAGGGGGCTTCATTTTGCTGGTAAAATAAAGAGAGAAGGCATAGATTATGCAGTGGGAAACAGGGTCCATATGCCTTATTTAATAGAAATAGACAACACCCCCCTTCCATGTGTGCGTGCCTGTTGTTGGTAGAGCAAGAGTTAGATCAGGATATAAAATGGAAAGGAAGAGGAATCATTCTAAGACTTCTGGTTTGTTAAAGAAGTCAAAAGCAGGTTGTTGCTATTAGGGAGCTATCAATGAGCTTGATTTAATGCATTTTAAGCAGTGGTGGGATTCAGCCAATTCGCACCAGTTTGGCAGAACCGGTAGTTAATTTTTTGTTGCCCAGGCCCAGAATGGACTTCCGGAAGCGGCATCCACACAGAGAACTGGTTGTTCACATATTTGAATCCCACCACTGATTTTAAGGAATAACATTTGACATCAAAAGGAAATGACAGAGTGACAACTAACATACAAGTAAAAAAAAAACAAAGGTGAAAATATATGAATGTCATCAATACGTTAGTGGCAAAATCAGCAAAACAAGTCCGTGTATTTATTAGCAGAGCAAAGATTGAGAGTTTAGAGCACACCGATAGAAATGGGGGGGGGGCGAAGAAAGGACCAAGGTGGTAGATGGTGGGGAGAGAGATAATCTATATGCAGTATTGAAGAGAAGAACAGCATGCAGTGGAATATGTGTGTCTGACATTGAGCAACCAAGTTTGTTCCTAAAATGAAGAGGGTCACAAATGCTGTTGACTGGGGCTACCACTTTCCCCTAATTTGGCTTTATAAAGAAACAAGCCCCCAGCTGTAGAACCAGCACAAAAGTAAGTTTTTGGTAGATAGCAGCTACCTCAGGTTGTAGACAGCAAGCATAGAACAGGAGAGAACGAAAGAGGGGACTGACTGGCTGGGCAATGTCTCCATCACCATCTGAAAGAGACGGAGGAAAAAGGTCAAGGGGCAAGAGTATTTGCACACACTGCTCGGTCACGCTTCTTGTCCGCAGATAGTCTTGTGGTCTGGTTTGAGGCTAAAGGAGCTAATTTACTTTTGCCTTTTTGGCATCAGAAGGGGAAATGATGAGAGCAGGCAAAGGGGCCCTCTTTGAGAAATAGTTTTCAATTACAAGGAGCATTTTTGATTAATGTTTCTAATAATTAGCAAATTCCCCATGTGGAATATGGATTTTGATAAAAACTGGTTCAGACCAGCCAGATGCAAAGTCTGTGCAAAAAGTTGAACTTTAATAACCTGAAAACTCATTATAATATGGCAAACACCCTTCCTGTCTGTGCAATTAGGCATTAACAAGATTGTGCTAAGATTATGATGGGATGCTATGAACTGTTCCATGGTACATATATAGCTACTGAACATGCTCACGAGAAGCTTGATGACTCGAATGAAGTCATCAAGCCAATTGAAGAACACAAATATGTTTGAACTGTGTATAAAGTGATTATTTCCCTTTTAAGGTGTCTCTCACCTTTTATCTGTGAAGACCTTTTTTTTTAAATTTAGCATAAATAGTTATTAATCTACCTTGCCAGCTTAGATCCTATTTTGCCAAAGGCACACCGGTCCAAGAACCTTGCCATGGTTTACAGCTAATGGGTTGCCTCCATTTTTCTCTTCTGTTTACTTCCACTGTTCCTTGATTAGAACAGCCAGGGAAACTTCAGCTGTTTCTCTCAGATCTCGACTTGGTGGCATACATTTGAATTCTGCAAACAAGGCCTGCTAAACCCTGTTAATTCTGCCTTGAAAACCCAAAGCTTACTTTCCACTATTTGGTGGCCACCTTCCCACTGGGTCTGGTTAGGGTTGGCTATCACTCACCACTAGTGCCTCAGTCAACTGATTTTTTGTATATGGAAGATCCAGTGTGTCTTGGCCACATTTTTGTGCAGCCACGCAACTTGCAGAAATGGCACGGAGGAAACCAATATTTTCTTCGTGGTTATCCAGGAACTGCTGTAATTGTTAATAATTAGAGTTATTAATACAGGTATCATTTCACTAGTTGATTGTCATTAATCATTGGGATCATTACTTTTTTAAAAAAAATAGTATGCAGGCTTACAAATGAATCAAAGACCAAAGTAGACTCTATCCCAGGGGGTCTTCAAACTTGGCTCTTTTATGACTTGTAGACTTCAACTCCCAGAATTCCTCAGCCAGTGTGCCTGGCTGAGGAATTCTGGGAGTTGAAGTCCACAAGTCATAAATGGGCCAAGTTTGAAGACCCCTGCTTTATCCTCAGGCTTGCAATCTAAAAGGTAGCACAAAAGGAAAAGAAGGCTTTTGAGAGAATGGGGCTTTTCATTGGCTCTTTAATTTACTTGTGGCTAAACATTCACAAAAAGTTTCTGAAACTTCCATCCAGATACGTTTCAAACTGAGGATGAAAGAAAGAAAGAAAGAAAGAAAGAAAGAAAGAAAGAAAGAAAGAAAGAAAGAAAGAAAGAAAGAAAGAAAGAAAGAAAGCAATAACATTTGGCCATTTCTTTTGATACCAGATTGTGTTTGTAATATTTCAGCAGTTTCCTCTTAAGGGAGGGGAAGTTACCATAGAAAAAAAATGAAGCTTAGCTCATGTAGATTAGGAGTGTCCAATTTTGACAACTTTAAGACTTTGGGATTTTAACTGGCTGGCTAAAGAATTCTGGGATTTGAAGTCCATTATTCTTACAGTTGCCAAGGTTAGACATCCCTGATGCTGATGAATCTTTTTTTTCCCCCTCCTACATGTGTAATATAATATTGAATTTTCCCACATGGAAAAGAAAAGAGGGTGGCTGACTCTTCCTTTGCACATTAGATATCTAGTGTTTAATGTGTTTGGGGGGAGGGATCCATTTCTTTATTTGTCCGGGATAGGATGAATAGTAACTACTATATATTCAGATGTTTATGCCATCAACACTCTACTTTTAGGATGGGGAAAAGTATGCTGAATAGAGAAAAAACTAAGAATATGGATCATGAGACAAGAAAAAGAAGCCTAATGAGAACATAGTTATTAATGGAAGATATTTAATTAAAATTAATTGACATTGATTGGACTGGGGAAATTAATTGGTTTGCCTTCTATGTAATTTCAGTTCCAGTTTGTTTTTAAAGTGCATGTGCTTATGTTTGTGTAAAATCACACAGATACAATTAGCACATGAATAAATCCCCAAGCAACTAGTATTTATATAGCATCCTTTTCTCATTTACTAAGAAAAACATCATAAATGCACTCCACCCCAAGTCTTGTGGAAAAGCAAAGCCTTTTAACTAGTTCTCCGAATAGCATCTGGGTTTGGGAGAGAGAGAGGTTTGGGAGAGAGAGAGGGAAGAGGAGCTATTCCAAAGAAAAGGGATCATTCTATAGAAAGCCCCTCTATCGTATCTCTTTGTAGACAGGATCTCATAATATATCCTCTGTCTTAAACCAGATTGGACAGGTAGAATCTACCTGGAGCAGACAGGCTCACAGATATCTAGATTCCAAGCCATATGAGACTTTAGAGGTGATAACTAGCAACAGGTTGCACTTGGAAGCCAAGTGACAGCTACAACACATGTAGCTATCAAGATTTCTTTAGATTAAAGTTGTCTCCTGGTTGCTCCTTCAGGAGCAATACAGAAGCTATACCTTGTCATGTCTGTGAGCGTATTCCATGAGGGTTACAATGGCTTCCACATCCAACATGTTGTTGGGTTGCTCCGATTCAGCCGATATGAAGGACAGGCATGTGGAATCCATGGTGTCTGTTGTTGAAACTGTGGGAAAGATACACCAAGAAAATGGGGCAATGTCTCAGCAAGGAAATGGTGGCATTTGAAAAATAAACTCTTAGCCTTCTGATCAAGACATGTTCTTACCCTTCCTCTCTTTAAATGGTTATGCCATTTGTTTCGCTATGATATTGGGAGAAGTTGGTTAACTTCTGGTAGACACTCAAAGGTGCTTTTTCAAGAGTTCTTTTAAAGACATTTTGCTTGTCATCCAAGAAGCTTCTTCAGCTCTGTCTGGATGGTTGTGAATGGAAGGATTTATATTCCTTGCAGACAGCTGGTCATTATGATTTGATGAAGGCCCAGTTGGGATAGCCACACATTCTGAGGGCTTCCTTGATGTGTTTTAGTTCTTTTTCTTTCAGCTCAGTCCTGATAACTCCCATTTTGTGCTCCAGTGGGTGGTGAGAATCACAATGTAAATATTAATCACTGTGTGTAGGTTTTCTGTAAACTTCAGTGTTAAGACTTCCATCTTCCTTAATGTGTACTGCACAGTCCAGGAAGGCTACACTTTAACATCTTTCCGCATGAGTTTGATGTATCTATCTACAAAGTTGATAGGTTTGGTGAACGCTTCCAATTCCTTGTTTTGATTTTTGACCCAAGTATTGTCCACATACCTATGCTAGTGAATCCTGTCAAGGAACTTAGGGTGTTGGTTTCTACCTCTTCCATGTAGAGATTGGCCACAATTGGGGACACAGGTAAACCCACGGCACAGCTGTGTTTTTGTCTGTAGAAACCTTCATTGTATTTAAAATAGGTAGTGGTCAGGCAGAGATGCAGCATGGCACATATGCGGTCTGCGCTGAGATTAGTTCTTTCACCTAAGGTGCTGCCTTGTAGCAGTTGTTTCTTCATTACCATGACAGCTTCAGTTGTTGGAATGCAGGTGAAGAGGGAAGTCACATCATAGGGAACCATAGTCTCATCCAGGTCCAGTTTTAGTTTCCAAACCTTGCTGGCAAAGTCCTGTGAATTGCTGATATGATGGTGGTGTTGCCAACTAGAGAAGCTAGTAATGTGGTTAGATGTTTTGCAGTGTTGTAAATGACAAAGCTGATGTTGCTGGCAATTGGTCTAAGTGGAGTTTCCTCTTTGTGGATTTTGGGGAATTCACATATGCATACAGTGGCTTCTCCAGGGTAGACGATAGTATTATGGCTTGTCAATGGCATTGTCCCTCAATATTTAATTTTGATGTAAATATTATATATCAATATTTACATTTTGATTCTCACCACTAACTGCAGCACAAAATAGGAGTTATCAGAGCCCTACACCACTAAGATGAAGGCTTGCCTACCAATAAAGATGGGAAAGAAAAAGAACTAAAACACATCAAGGAAGCCTTCAGAACATGTGCCTATCCCAACTGGGCCTTCATCAAATACCCCAAAAGACCCACCAGGAGCTCCTCCATAAATGAAGCAATGTTGTCATTCCATATGCTGCAGGAATATCTGAAAAGCTCAGGAGGATCTTCAGCCAACACAATATTCATACACCAGAATACACTAAGAATACACTATTTTATCCCAAGGATAAAATACCCACACACAAACTGCGCAATGTGGTATATGCAGTACAATGCAGTGAAACACATGCAGATCTGTACATTGGGGAAACAAAGCAACCACTTCATAAACGCATAGCACAACATAGAACAAACCCATCAGGACAAGATTCAGAAGTCCATCTGCATTTAAAAGACAAAAGCCACTCTTTTGAAGACAGCAAAAGTCCACATTTTGGACAGAGAGGACTGCTGGTTTGAAAGAGGGGTCAAAGAGGCCATCTGTGTCAAAATTGAATAGCCCTCTCTCAAGGGGGGGGGATAAACATCATCTTTCTCCAGTCTTTCAGCAGTTCAAGAAGGCTCCACACCCAATTGCACTACTCAGGTGACCCTGAGGACACAGATAAATCTCCAACGACTCTCTAAAAGAATGCAAATGACCAGCTGTCCACAAGGAATATAAATCCTTCCCCACCATCCACTCAGAGATGAAGAAGCTTTTTGGATAAGAAGCAAAATATCTTTAAAGAAAAAAACAAGAAAGTCCAGTTGCCTCTTAAAAAAGCACCTTTGGGAAAACCATGACGTGGATGACTGAGAATCTCCATAGACATTTGGGTAGACGCTAACTTTTTTTTTTTAAAAAAAGAAGACAATATACTGATGGAGGAGAATATCTGTAACGCAAGGTTGAAATGAAGGGTCCTTGGTGCTGTCTGAGCTTGGTTGTTTTCTTGTAGATGTTTCATTAACCAAACTGGGTAACATTGTCAGTGCTGGTGGTGTCCAGAGCACCAAGGACGCCTCAAGACAATATAACGATACAGTGGGCCTGTTTTTGTTCCTGCCTCAACAACTGCTAACTCTCTGGCTAGTGATGTGCTGCCCGCCCCATTCTCAGAGGTGGTCTCTAATATTCCATTTACCTGAGCCATTAGAAATTGGGAAAACTTAGCATTGCCTTCATTTTTCCAAATGAGCTTTGGGTTCAGCTGCCTGCTCTCCCCCTTACGTCTTAGGCTCCCTTTACCTACTGCTGGCTTTCCCCCTTACGACTTAGGCTCCCCTTACTTGTGGTATCAGATCGCCTCGTATTTGTGCTCTCTGTGGCGAGACTAATCGCGAACGAGTTATGGGCTTGTTTGGAATAATTTTCCATCCGTTCACTTTTGGAACACGGTTTGGTTTGTTGCTTTTCTGCCTGTGGTTTGAAACCCTGGGGACTGATTTTACAATTACTGCAGCAAGTCCAGAATGTTCTAACTTTTTCCCCATCGCTGATAGAACTGTCCCTGTTTGCTCGACAAAAGTGAAACGCCCTGGATCTTGTTGGCGATTTCTCGAGGCCTCTTGCTGGTGACCTCTGGCGGCTTCCCAGGCGTTGGCCGCCTTGAGTGGCAGAACCTGAAGAAGTAGCCGGCCGTCGGTCCAGGTTGCAGTTGTTCCCCTCTTCTGGGGTTCCCACATTGGCATTCCTATTTTGAATGAGGATCCGAAGCCTTTCTAGCCTGAAGCAGATGAGGAGAAAGGCAGGTTTTAACAATGTCATCTTGGATAGGCGAAGAGCACTCTGAACTATCTCAAACTTTCATGGGCAGCTTGTGTATTGCAGTTTATTAAAGAACTTCTGTTTCTCTTCGACAAACATTCTCCAATTTATCCTTTCTACTCTCTGCTCCAAAACACTGTTTCTTATCCAGCAGTTAATGCCATCAGTAACTGAGCTCATGTCAGTTGCAAGCATTGGGGGTTTGAGTCAATCATTTTATTTCAGATGAAATAAAACTTCATTTTGTTTTGAGAACTTGCTTTGCTAGGATCTATCCTTTTGGAATAGTGACTTATTAATGATATATGACAAGGGTGTCAAACTCGCTGCGTCATGTAATGTGTTGCAATGTATCATGACTTTTTTCCCCTTGCTGAAGCTGGGGTGGGCACAGCTTCCACATGACACATCTGGCCCATGGGCCAGCAGTTTGACACCCCTGATATATGAGATGGATTGTTACGCTACAATTGTGATGAGAAGTGTTGGGGTTACCGGGTTGCCATTCCATGTATGTTTATTATTATACCTTTTGTGATTGGTAGTGGCCTGTTTTTGATGGACCTTTGAACTTTATTTGTGACCCAGGCTTGCTGTTGTGAAATGGGCAGCTATGTAATTGGATTTAACAAGTAACCAGCTGAAATAAATACATGAGAACCTTTCAATAGTATTGTTCGTTCTGGACTGAAATGCCACCTCCCCACCTTCCAAAATTTCATACCTCATTGTCATTTAATGATTCAGGAAAAAAGCTGCAATCTGTTTTGATACAAAAAGAGGTGGCAACTTTGTGGCCCTTCTCAGTGTTATATCTGGGCTGCAAATCTCAGTGTGACGACTAGATGACTATGAAGAAATGCTTTGCTGCCATCTAGAATTTGATTGATTTTTGGCAGCCTAAGAGGGAGCAATTCCCTTGTTTCTGCAGAATCATCCAATTAGCCTTATTTCATTGGAAGGACTCACTGGAGAAGGGCCTAATGCTGGGAAAGATTGAGGGCAATAGAAGGAGGGGACGACAGAGAATGAGATGGCTGGATGGAGTCACTGAAGCAGTAGGCGTGAACTTAAATGGACTCCAGAAGATGGTAGAGGACAGGAAGACCTGGAGGAGTGTTGTCCATGGGGTTGCGATGGGTCGGACATGACTTCGCAATTAACAACAACAACAACAAATTAATTAGTGACATTTTTCCATGGACCACAAGATTTTGTTGATTTTGCTGCAAGTAAGCAATGTCTGTAGGAAAGATGTCCTTACTATTCATGTTACTGCTGCAGCAAGATAGAATGGACTGAGGAATTTCAAATCACATTGTTGATATTGTTTACATTCTGGCAGAGGACAGCCATTATATAATAATAGCCAGTTCGGAGTACAGTTAGTTCTCGATGTATGACCACAATTGAGCTGCCAACTTCTGTTGCTTAGTTCATGGTTCTAAATGCTGATGGGAAAATCCAACCCCTTTTCTTCCATTTTATCTATCACTGGCTTTGTACCTGATAACTCCTCAAATGGAAGTCTCTCTTTTGTAAGAGAATAGATATTGACGCATACCATGACACGCATAGAACATTAAAATATTGTACTTACATCTCTGAATGTTAGGGTTTGTCTTTCTTTTCCTCCAAGAAGTGGTCCAAGAAATACTCATTGGTCCTAATACAAATCAGGAGAATATTCACCAACAGAGCTATCCACCAAGCAATATAACACAAAAGATGTGCACAGGCACACACAAAACATTCCAGGAGAGGAGTATCAGATTCAGTGAATATTACCCCAAGTGCCTTAGATTTTATATTTTTCTCTCTACCTTACCCACTGCCTCCCCCACAAATGCACTTTTCTAACTGGGAACAGAAATTTTTTTTAAAGAGTTTAAGGGCTAGTTGGTGAGTATGGCTTCTATATTTTTCATAGAGCCTTTCAAAGCTGTATCATCTGTTTGCCATAATAATATCACCTCTGAATACAAACAATTTTTCAACCAAAATAGAGCAAATATGAGTGCCACCAACAAAACAGGAAAGAAATGCAGCCGTCTCACAACTCACAAAAGGCCTCCGGTTAATACATGAACTAGCAAAGGCAGATGTCACAATGGGAGGCATGTCACCGTTACCTTAGTAACCTGGGAATTATTCCTCTTCTTATTTTCTTGCGATTTTGTTTAAAGGTTCATAAATTAATATTGTTGCTTTTTGAGTAAAGGGTGAATGAAGAGCAAAGGGGGCTTTCTTCCCCATTTGAATCTTAATTATGGTGTGAAGAAGCCCCAGGAAATACTGTATCTGCTAAGCCCCTTATGTTGCTTTCATATTTCTTAACTTTTTGTCTTTCTTTCTTTCTTTCTTTCTTTCTTTCTTTCTTTCTTTCTTTCTTTCTTTCTTTCCTTCCTTCCTTCCTTCCTTCCTTCCTTCCTTCTTTCTTTCTTTCTTTCCTTCTTTCCTTTTTCTTTTTTCTGATTTGTCTTTTATTCTATGAAAAAAATTATAATAAATTAAAAAATAATAAATTTTGCTGGCCCATGACTGAGAGGAGGTATGGAGAAGTGTCTTAAGTAATTTAGTCCCATGTTTATTCTTACAAGGATGATGCACCTCTCCCTGCATGTCATTCAACCCTGGGTCTAAATTACTGCTCCTGAAGCATTTAGTGGTGGTTTTATTTTGTTTATTTGACAGGTGTTTGTGCAATCCATCAACATCTATTTATGAGTTTAAAATCCATCTTCATCTGCATCTAATTTATTTTTATACTTGATTAAAATTTGGAAAATTTGGATTGTGGCAAGTTCTTAAATTGCTTCCTTTTTAGCCGTTACACGAGAAGCATGGACAGTTCCAATGCACGGGAAATTATAAATGTCGTCTTCCAGCAGAAGACATGGTGGACTGAAGATTGCTTCATGAAAAACAGAGCCAATGAACACGGCAAAGAATGAAGACCAGTGAATAGAGCGGCTCTTTGAACCTCCCTGGACAAAGAGAGGACAGGAGATCTCCCACAAGTGCTCTGGATATTGGCTTCTCATGAGGAGACCACATATTATCACTCTCTAGTACAGAGGTCCCCAACCTTTTGGCACCAGGGACTGCGGAGAGAGGTTTTTCTGCAGACTGGAGGGTGCGTGATTTTGTGTGCTGCCTGCATCTTGCGGATGGGGTTTTGCTTGTTTGTGCGGCCCGATTGCTGGCATGCCGCGGCCCAGTACTAATCCACAGACCGGGGTTGGGAACCCCTGCTCTAGCAGGTTTATTGCTCTGAAAATGAGGAAATGGCCACTATGCTCAAACCATCGTTATATGACTATATGTTTAAAGCAGTGGTTCTCAACCTTTTTAATGCCGCGAACCCAACCGGTCGTAAGTCGAGGACTACCCAACCAGTTGTAAGTCGAGGACTACCCAACCGGTCGTAAGTCAAGGACTACCCAACCGGTCGTAAGTCGAGGACTTTCCCTGCCCAGGAGCACCGTGCATGCGTGCTGCTGCCCCCTGCGCCGGCCGAGGCGTAGCTGGCAAGGGGCAGTGACGGCGCAGGGCGACCACCAGCTGGGCCACCAGCTGGCCCAGCCCAAGGGAGGTAAGGCACACGCCGCGCCCCACGCGCACCAGCAACCCTCCCTGTGCCCGTCGGCCTCCCACCTCCCACCCCTGGCCCTCTTTTACTTACATTTTTAGTAGTTGCTCAGCAGGGAGGGGTGGAAGCTTCCAGACAGCTCGCCTTCACTGCAGACAACTTGCAGCACCGTTTGCAGACTGGGGCTTTTGGCGGGCTCAGCAGGGCAGAGACAGCCTGGACAATTCCTATTGGCTTTTGAAAGCCAATAGAATTAGACTCTATTTAGGTTGAGAACCACTGGTTTAAAGTAACTTAATTGCATTTTGTACAAATGAGTTCCATATTCCATTATACTTTCCTTAAAAAACATGTCTATAGGCAATATGCTGATAAGTGGTAAGTGTAATAGGACTTTAATCTACTGAGTGAATGAAACCATGCAGGTAGACGACTTATGACCGGTCGCTTCAGAATGATGAGCAGCCTGAAAAAGAGGACTTGCAACTGAAATTCAAAGTTCCAACAGTTGAGCCCCCCCCTCCATAGTCACATGACCAAACTTCAGGTGCTCAGCAACATGGCTGCACTTGATGGCCTTTTGCAGCATCCCACAATCGTGGCCGTTTTTTATGATGGGTTTTGAAAACTGGCACTTCCAGTTTTTAGCAAAGCTGCACCCAAAGGAAACCATTGGTTTAGTTATCCACTGTGGTGTTCACTTAATGACCGCAGCTTAACAACCACAGTTCGCTTCATAGCTGCCACATTCACTTAACAAGCGTAGTAAAAAAAGTTATAAAATCATGTCAGTTACATCAGGGGTCCCCAACCTATGGTTGGGAGTGTGTGTGTGCGCGCGCACATGGGCAAATGTCCCAGCTGCTCCCTTTCCCTCCAGGCCGCCAGCATGAAAAGGTTGGTGACCTCTGAGTTACATGACTTTTTTATGACTGCCTCAACATATGACTATAATGGGCAAGCTCCATTGAAGTCATGACTACCTATACATTTATCTTTGCAATGTTGCAAAATCAGCCTTTTAACCACAGTAAGGGCATAAAGAAGCCATTTACATCGTTAGGTTCCATGTATAAGGTATATAGTTCAGGACAATGATATTCTTTGAAAATGTTAGTTTTTGTTCCACAGCCACATTTGTATAGCCCACTACTTTCTCCCAAAACATGTTAAATATAGAACATTGTAAAAACATATTTTTTAAAAGCATTATCTTTATTACATCTGCAAAAAAAAGACATTGATTTTTATATAAATGTAACAAAGTCTAATTAATTCTAAATATTATTTCTTTGTTATGATCATGTTGATGTTATTTGGTCAGTCATATCCACCTCTTGGCGATTCTATGGGCCAGGTCTCTCCACATAAGTCATAATTTGAGATCCATTGACACTCTTGCTATAGAGGTTAAGACACTCTCCCATTGACGAGGCCAGAGTTCCCTAACCTTTCCAGCTTGGCCGCCTGGAAAGAAAGGGAGCAGCAGGGAAATGTGTGCGTGTGTGGCTCTGCCTGCGCATGTGCAAATGGGCCTGTGTGTACATGTGCATGTGCAAGTAGGCTGCATGTGCCCATGGTGTGTGCTGCCTCCTGTGTGCATGCACAAATGGGCTGTGCGCACCCATGGCATGTGCGCTCCCTCCCACATGCATGTACAAATGGCCCGCACGCACCGTGTGACGTTGGCGGCGATGCTAGTGTCCCTAAGCATGTGCAAATGGGGCCACTAGTGCCCACACGACTGCTATTGTGAGTGGGGCGGGGCTCACCAACTATTCCTGGGGCCTGGTGGCCATAGGTTGGGGGCCTCTGGTCTAGGCAACATAGGAACTTCTAATTCTTTATTCCACTCATTTTGTGCATCTGCATCTGCATAGTAAATTAATTTATTGACAACAAATATGTATAAAAAGAAATAGATGTTTTAGTTTTAAAGGGTTTAGCCAGTTCTTCTAGTATCTCAGGTATCTCAGAAGCTGGAAATCCTATTGGTCCAAACAGTGCTGTTAAATTTAACTGTAAATGTTGCCATTTAGTTGCATCTGATAGGTGATATTTATCTCTGATGCCAGTATATGTTATTTTTCTATATTGTTTATTTTTACGCGTGACTTGTTTAAGGCTTTGGGAAGTATCTTCTGAAAGAAGGCCCTGAAAACATTTGTGAATGTTGGTTGTCTTGATTTAATTTAATTTTCTATAGTTCTGGGATTCGGGTCTTTTTCTATGACTCTTAGACTGATTTTCATTTTTATTGGATCCAGTAGAAAAAAAATAGAAAAAAAAATGCCAATGAACTAACATTATCTAGGAGGGAGAAAAGGTGTGTAATAGTAAATGGGGATCAGTGGGGGACAATCAGGCTTTTCATTTGCCCTTCTCCCAAGGGTTTCTTTATGAAAGACTCCCAAATTTCCCAAAACCTTTCCAACTTGCAAGAAGCAATAGATATCCTTTAAAAATCAACATCTCTGTTTAATCAACACACAAGCTATTCTATGCAGGTTTAATCAGAAATAAACCAAATGCTATTCAGCAACGTTCACTGCTGAGCAAATGTATAGATTGAGATGGTCTGACATGCTGAAATCCCAGGAATTTGACTTTAAGGCTTTCTCCCAGTAACCAGGAGACTGGGGGTTCTAGCCCCACCTTAGGCATAGAAGCTGGCTGGGTGATTTGGGGCCAGTCACTCTCTCTCAGCCCAACCCAGGCTGCTGCTGTGCTGGGCGCAGAGCTGCTGGTGCTGCTGCCCCCATGCTGGGCATGAAGCCACCAGCAATGCCACTGTGGCAGGCTCCGGGCCTGGTGTAGCAGCAACAGCAGCAGCTCCACTCCTGGGTGTGGGCGGTGGCAGCAGGCCTAAGGTGACCAACCGTCCTCCTTTAGGGAGGACAGTCCTCCTTTTGTAAGTTCTGTCCTCCCTCAAAAAGTGTCCTCCTTCATGTCCTCCTTTTTGATGTTTGAAGACTAATCTGCAGGGCTTTTTTTCCCCTCATAGAATGCTCAAAACGGCGTTACGGCACCTTTTTTTGATGGTTTTTTTTCAACTTTTGCATGAGCTGTGCTACTCCCGCTATTGGCTTTCGAAAGCCAATAGGAATTGCTGCTGAGCGTGCCAAAACACCTGGCTGGCAAACTTTGCACATGCAAGTTGTCTGTATTATTGTTGCAATGAATAAAATGTTTTTTTTTATTTACAATTTTTTTCTTCAATTTATTTGTGTCCTCCTTTTCATTGTAAAAAAGTTGGTCACTGTTGAGTCCGTGGCGGGAAAACAGACACGAGAAGCAGCTGGAGTTCTCAGTTTCATTTATTCAGCGTTCAGCTTACAGGAAGATGGCTTCAGCCTCGCCCAAACGCCTCGCAGCCTCTTATATAGGCAACTCCCGGGTAAATGGGTTACTTTTCCCGCGCCAGCACCCGCGCATGCGCACGGCGCTGGCGACAGCCTGTCTGGTCCCGGGCAGCTTTGCACCTGCCCGGGACTGCCTGCAAACGCCCGAGCCGTTTGCAAAGGCTCGGGACATAACACCCCTTTC